TATTGGGACATCAGCATCATCACGTAATTGTCTTGTAAAAATACCAACTTTTCGAAATTCTCAATGTGCATTTTAATTAATTTTTTTTTGTTAAATCGATTAGATAAACATTTTTCTTGACTGATAGAAACTTCCATTGATTCATTGAAGTGCACTTCACAAGATGTAAAAATGGCTGCGGTTCGTCTTATTTGTGCCATCGCTTTGATATTTTTACTGGTATTGATAAAAATTAATAGAGTTGACGCCTTATATATGTATATGGTATACAATACCCTATGTGAGTGCATTCTACTCGCTTTCCGCTTTCTCAGCGCTCTATAGCCCGAAAACGGTTGACTTTGCAGAAAAATGCAAGAGACATTTTTTGTAGATAATCGTATGAGGAATAATTTTTATAATGATCTTTATTGACCTCCGAGCCATGGGTCGCGTGATATTCGCGAAGAACTGATTTTCGTGACCTTTTGACCCTTATAACTTTTTTAGCCGTCACGATATCAATGTCTATTTTCCACATCTTCATCAAAAAGCGACAATGAAGGTGTATACCAAAATTTTTCCGCAAATTGAGCTTTAAAAAACCTAAAATGACTGGATTATTTTAGAACGTTGAATCATAACTAACTGAAAATGATAAAGGCAATGCCTTCATTCTCAAAGATCGATCGATTTCCTACCATTCGGTAATTCATCGAACAGTCTTCTGCACCTTTCCCGATATTTTTTGGCAAACACCTGGTTGACCATTCACCGCATCGATTCACAACAAAAGTACAATCCTAATTCCATTGTCACCTCAGCCAAAAGAAGTTTATGTCCACTATCGGGACATTGTTCTTTCCAACAAAAGACGAATTTCAGCACACGCTTCAATAGAAAATGACATCTAAAGCAGTTATATTTTCCTATAGATTCGCAGTTCAAACCGTCCTTTTATACGAAACAAACAGTTCGAATGAGACAAAGGATCGCAGCGATGTCTCTTTAGTTGGCTTTGTTGGGACATATTGTTCGCAGAATAGATACTTCAAGTTACATCATTTCTAAGAGATTGTCTCTGATTGCTTTATCTTAGTGCGGACTACAGTGACTGTTGTGCGGACAGGCATCTCGATAAAATGACAATACTGAGTTTTTTTATCCTCTTTCGATCTGACATGGTTTGTTGAGTTCATTTTTCTTTCGTATCTTGATCGGGAGAAATTCTGTGGAAAATGGAGATACTTGGCCGATTAGAGAAGAAAAGAGAACAGATCCCAATCTGAAGTGACAATTACGGTTTTTGTCAGGAGAGTATGTTGGGTAAACGAAGATGAAGTTACAGATTTGCAATATGTAGCAGGCTCACTTTAAATAGGTTTATTTCGAAAATTTGTAATCAGTAACCTATCACTGAGATTAATAAGAAACTACTTCGGCTGTAAAAAGCTAGGTATAGAAAATATTATTGAATATGATGTTCTTTATGTCCAATCCTTGTTGAACCAATGATCTTTCAAGAATTCTATGTCAAATTAGTATCATAATCTATGATAACAGACTCTCATATACAGGCCGTATAGCTGATACTACTATCGCTATCTCGGAAACGGTAAGTCCTACAAGGTGGATTAAATTGGACAACAGATTCCTATTTTGGGAAACTATAATAATATTTTTTCAGGTCGAGAATAATACGGGATGTTTTTGAAATATTCGCCAAAAACTAGAGTAATTGAAATTGTTTTTCAAATGAATACAAAAAGGCAGAGGAACTGTTTCACTGAACACTGTTTCATATTTGTTATAACATGACATAAAGAAATTTGCAATGCGACGTTTCTTTCATTATATTTCATCATGAATTTAATTTTTTTAAATACGGACCTCCAGTTTTTTTTATCGATTTTTGTAATAACTTATTCAGCCATGTGTTGTTATATGTTTCCCGACGCTTTTCTCATCACTGTATGATCATAGAATTTTCGGTCAAAGCTCCCTCGAAGAAGTAGGGACCTATATTTTTTTGAGTCTGCAACTCAACACGATACATAAAATCCACATATCAGGGGAACATATAATGAACTAAGTAATTAAAAGAAAAAAAGTCAAGCTTATCCTAACCATCTACGTCGCACCCACGACATCTCATTATATGTCAAAATTATCGTCCATCGTTCCTTATACACACATTCGCTCTCACAATAGTATTTTCATGTCAATTTTCCAGCATTTGTGGGGTTGAAGCCATAAAGGCCTCTTCCTTATTGTTTCTTTCAAATCGTCAATATTGCCAGAAATAGAACCGAATACCTTGTTTTCAATGAAGGCCCACAATGAAAAGTCCAGAAGGGTCAGGTCAGATGAACGTGGTGGCCATTTAATAGGACCATTGTTTTCTATTCATCGTCATATTGAGAGAAAACTCTCCGTATTATTTTCTCAGAATATTCAAAGGCAAATCTTTCAATGAATCAACTAGAGTCATCGACAAGAATTCCAAATATAATTCCTCCGATGTATCAGAATCTTGGTGTCTAGCATACCAAGGCAAGGGCAAGGAGTGGTACTGGATGATAATACAAGTTTTCTTCACCTAAACTGGATAATATTGATGTAACCTATATGTGGTATATGTCATATAGTCCGTAAAACAATTCAAATACTACATGAGACATTTCAAGGTCTCGTTTCGGTGATCAGAATTGGTCCCCTATGTCGTTTGATTCAATACCTTTAGATGGTGTTTTTCAAAGATGTATTTTAACGTGCCCAAATCCACCCGTGCACTACAAGAGGCCATTCAACGCTGCATCAATGAAATTCAGCCATATGTATACATAATGGTCATGGAAAATTTCGATAAAACAGTGCGTATGTACCAGCAAAGTCGTGGAGGACATTTGCCCGCTGTGTTATTCCATAAATAACAATATCATATTTGGTTATTTCGAAACTTTTGTCCGTTATGATGTCATGTGTCTTCTCCATTTCTCAATAAAGATTTATTCTACTGTATCAGGTCAACTCAAAAATTGAAATTTGACATAATGAAATTGATGCATGAATATTTTATTTTGAAGTGAAATTGGTAGATGAAACTTGGAAAGTTTGGATAAATGGAAAGGGGGGTCTTGTGACACATCACAAGCTCCTGACAAAAATTCTTCACAAACTTAGAATATGAAGTCAATATGCGACAACATGCGACAAAATGGCGGAACATTAAATAATTTCCAGAAGACAAATACATTAATATCGATATTTCTAGAAATATTCCTTTTTATCTGCCACAGGATAATTCCAACAACCCGATAAGGTTTGTTAAGTTATTTTTTGTTTATAAAAACGACAAAAAATGTCAGTACGGCAGTGAACATCATTGTACAGAATATTCTCATTTAATTTTCGGTTATACTAGTAGAAATGTACCACGTCAACAATAAAATGGTCAATTCTCGTCCATTGGAAGAAAAAATTGAAGCGAGACCGAAAGAATTTTCAATGAACGTTTTCCGAATCGTCCTATCTACAGAAAATATTTGAGGGAACTTTTATCCAAATTCACAACTACCGGTAGTGTACATGACAAAAAGTCCCCAGGTCATCCATCCATTCCGGAAGAATGGCAAGTGCAAATAATTGGTGAGATGGTAGTAAATCCTGAACAGTCTACTTATTCCGTCGCGAATGTTTGTGAGGTGTCTCCTTCTACTGTGTGGAGACATTTGAAGAGGAATAGGTATCATCCAAACAATATTAAAGTGGTACACCAATTAACTGAACATGACCCTGATCAAAGAACATAATTCTGCGAAATCATGACGGAAACCATTGCAAGGCATCCTACTTATCTCCACAATATTTATTTTAGTGACGAATGTACTATTTTTTAAACGGCACACACACGTTTTCCGGAAAACACATACCCAATATCCAGAATAAATTAACGTTTGGGCAGGAATATTGGGAAACCATATTGTAGGACCTCTATTTATTGATCAAAATTCAACAGGGGAGCTGTGTTTGAATAGGCTGGAAACTACTGTTGACCCTCTCATCACTGAAGTAATCGAAGCGAATCCTAATGGATATTGTATTCCAACAAGATGGAGCACCACCACATTACTCCAGATAAGTAAGAAACTATTTGGATACTACTTTTCCCGGTCGTTGGATTGGCCGTCGAGGTCCTATAGAATGGCCAGCCCGCTCGCCTTTGGACTTTTTTTAAGAGACTATTTTGAACCTGCTTCAATATTGGATCTACGGTAGAAAATAATAAATATTTGTAGAGATATTGACGTTACTGTGTTCGAAAATGTTCGGCGTGAAATATCGGATAGGCTGTTCATATGTCAAAAAGTTCAAAGCAACCATTTCGAGCATCTTCTGAACTGACCTCAAGCTTATTACCTCATATTATGTAAGTAAATGTCAAAGTATTCAGGCAATTATTAAAATTCCGCCATTTTGTAGTAGTTGAGATATTGACTATAGATTCTAGGGTTGTGAAGAATTTGTCAGAAGCTTCAAAAAGATATATCACAAGACCCCCCTTTCCATTTAATATTCTTTCTCAGATGGCGCCCAGTCGCCATCTTGAGAGTTTCATCTGTCAATTTAACTTCAAAATAAAGTATTCATGCAATAATTTCATTATCCCAAATTTCAATTTTTTGAGTTGACTCATTCAAAAAATAGAAAGGGGATGCACTGTATATATCGCTGAGCAATAGAGAATTTTGTACTATATACATTGATGCTATTAATTTTTTCCAAATTTTAAATTTTTGCATCTTTTTAGCATATTAATATATGAACGGACTGGACTGTTCATTGTTCCGGAGATTGTAGCCTCGAAGATGAGCCCCGGTTTTTGATGATTTTAATCATATTGGTAAGGTCTAAAAGCTCGGAATTCAGGTACTTGAAAAACTCAGGTATCAATCGATGTACTTTTGCGCAAATACTATTTCTGTAGAAGAAAGAAATTATAGTTTTGACGATTTTCTCACCGTTCCTCTCTCATTAAATCCGCCTTCAGGGTAGCTTTTGAAAACGTTCCTAGTTCTCCCCTTTCAGAACACTCTTTTCACAGAAAGTAGCACCAGCTGCAGCGAATTGTCGATATCGACAATACAAACGAATATTCCCAAACACAACAAAGTCCCACCCTACACCTATTAATTGGCTGGAGAGACACCGTTGACGAAAACAAAATTCCACAATAGTTCTGTTTGAACAGTATCGCTTCCAGTATTGTCCATCGAAATTAATGTCCCGAACTGAAAAGAATTAGTAATAAAGAAGGATGGACCGTAAGCAAATATTTAGTTAGGAAGAAGTCGTACAAAAGCCCGTCCGAACCCAGAATGAATAGACCATTCATATGAACTTGCTGCAAGGTTTCGAAAATATAAAAACCGAACTTTGCATATGAATGCGTATTATATATCCTGTAAACGTCAAATTTCAAATGGGTTTTCCACCCTAAATGGCAATATAAAGGCATATCATAACACATTGTGTTACTCTGTTTGTGTAAGTGGGGGTCCATGCATTATTCATATCATATTCAGATCATCTACGGCGGCCCTGATCGACAAGTGACAGTCTACAGCTGCCGTTTCACGGCTATGCGGACTTTGGAGTGTTTTCATATGCACTTCTCCTGTCTCACTACTGTATATTATTTTTTTTAATTCAACCGAAAGCTCTTTTGTACAACCAAAAACTCTGAAATAATATAAGAGTTGTAACAGATGTTTCCAAGGTGCAAGTATAATAAAAGCCGGCCAAATCACTTGGCGCCCATTTTGATTAGAAATCTTTTATTTTATTGGTAATAACATCTTTGATCCACGGCCCTGTTGAATGTTTCGAGTTGATAACTAAACCGACCGTACTTAAACCAAAACAAAAAGTAACTACGATATATCTGGAAATTAATAAACCTACGGGTAAACGTAATACTCTACAAAAAATTTATCAATACATTTTTTTTAGAGCCACCGTTTCTGAGATACGACGAATCAAAAAGTTGTCAAAGTTGTAATCGTCATTATGTGCACACGATTCCACGCCATCTATGAGGTAGTGTATATACTTAGCGCGTTTTTTCAACGTGGTTTACCCAGTAGGTCTATTCCACATGTCTGTTGTGATTCTGTCAAATTAAAAACTTGCATAATAAAATATATTAGGAAGGTTTGGAAATTATAAACGCGATTGAAATTAAAAAAAATGTTAGAATTCATTCATAACCTTCAAATACTTCTTCACACTACAATCCAACTTTTTTACAACCACATTTAGCGCTGCATCCCTTTTAACAGTTGCAAAAAATTGTGTTCAGCAGTTTTTCCGGCGCATGTAGGAGTAAAGTCTGAATAGGTTCAAATGCATTGTCGACCAACTTCCAACCCCAGTCTTTTGGGTCTAGCTGATAACCAAGCCACACTTGAACTTGGTAATATACCCGGAAAAGATGTTGATGAGCAGCAACTGAGGTTGGAGGAAGACAAGCTAATTGCACCTGTTTCTTATTTTTAGTGTTTTTTACGAAACATGCATATCGATACTTATCTAAGCAGGTGTTTTTTTTGGAAATTTGTACATAGAAAGAAGAAATTGAATCCCATTTGTGATAATTTCTTGTTGAGTCGAATTACCTTTTTTGATAACTTCAGCACATTTGAACTAAATCTTGTTTTTCAAACAGAAAAATATTTTTAATCAAATTACAACTTCAGAGATAGCATACTTATGCATATAATGACGATTACAACTTTTACAAGTTTTTACCTCGTCGTATCTCAGAAACGGTGGCTCTAAAAAAAAAGTATTGATACATTTTTTGTAGAAAACTTTATGATCTACAATTTTTATCGAAGGTTATTTTATGATAAAACTTACCGTTACCAAATTTTAATGAGATTTTTGACCTTTGACTTCGAATAAATTTTTTTCCAGGCATCGCAATCATTCGGAATTT